TCACTTAACTCCGGTGAGTTAGTCATATTTTTAAGACACTCATCAGATATTGGAGTCGTCAACACTCTTAAGAAAGAGCTTTAAATAAGGGAAACGTTGACAATGAGCAAGTACAAAGAGCAGTAGAAACAGTAAAAGATTAGTAGGCACTCTTATGAGGAAAAGATAGGCAGAAACACATCTTTGCCAGCCTTTCCAGGAGTAGGCCTCTTAGAAGCCCTAATCTCCGAGGTAGACTTCGGTGAAGTCCCAAAACTCAGAGATAGGTCTCTGAAGCCCCTATCATGGTCTGATAGATGGTTTCCCATGCTAAGCAGACTCCACTGGAGTCGGCGTGGCACCCTAGACTGGAGGTATGGCTGAAGTGATATAGCAGCAGCTGTGGGTGAAAAACTGAAAAAGCCTAGCAAGGGTGCTGGGCTCTATGCTCATAGGTGTGCTGAAGTGGTAGAAAAGCACCTCTGAGTGATAAAGCCCAGCAAGCGTATAAGGCCCTGAGTTCAAGCCAAGTATTGACACACACACAAAAAGATACAAGTGTTTGTGATTTTTTGGTCGGTTGTGGGGCCTGAACTCTGGGCCTGGGCACTGTCCTTCAGCTCTTCAACTCATGGCTAGTGCTCTACCACTTGAGCCACAGCACCACTTCTGGCTTTTTCTGCTTATGTGGTACTGAGGAATCAAACCCAGGGCTTCATGCATGCAAGGCAAGCACTCTACCACTGAGCTACCTTCCCAGCCCCAAATGTTTGTGATTTGACATTGTAATTTTAAATGAAATGCTTTGGCAAAAATAATTTTAATTTAGGGAATAATTTATTTCAAATTCTTTTGTTTCCTTTAAGTATTGAAATGATGTATTTTAATCAGCAAATTTGCAAACCTTATTTGAAACATTTTTGTATTTTGTCTAAACTATTTTCTGTATTTTTATTTACAAATTTTTACAATGAAATTGAATAAACTGGCAAAGGTATTCATTAACATGAACAATTTCATTACAGCTTTTGTTTATAAAGACAGTCCATATAGAACTTTATAGGTTTTATTACACTTAACATTTACCAAAATGCATTATTAAATAAGTATGGCCATTACACATTTTAGAAGTTTAGAAATGGTAGTTTGTTGCACTATTAATTATTAGCCATTCATTGTATTAACATAGCTAATAGGTCACATTTTATATGGAGTAGTGCTGTAGATGTTATATCCTAACCTTTATTTCTTTAAGTATTTTACAAGGGCATAAGTATTTTAGCTTTTACGAATAACAGTATTTTTTCAATTTCTTTATTTTGACATAAAATATAATCTGCCTTTTCAGATAACCATGTTTGTGTCACTTTTCAGACTTGAAAAAGAACGGTTGCTTGCAGAAGATGATGATGAATTGAAGGAAGTAACTGATTTGAGGAAAATAGCTGCTCAGTTATTGAAACAAGAACAGAAGAACAGGTATTCTTTTTAATAATGAATTTTAATAGGTAAATTTTAGAATTATTAAATAAAATTAAAGATAACCAAAATATATTGTTTCAAGTAAACATAGGGCCCCCTTAAGATGTATTTTCAAGCGACTACTAAAAGACAATAAGAAATTCTTAGCAGAGGAATATAAAGTTATGTATACAACAGAGAATATGTTGACATAGTCACTTTATGTGTTTTTGTGGTGGAGCTCAAACTCAGCTCTTGTGTCCTAAGCAAGCAGTCTATCACCAAGGTCTACCCCATCCTACTCTCTATTTTTAAGATCAGTTAAGTATTTATTATTCCTGTGTGGTGAACCCAAACAGTTTATTATTTTATCCAATGTAGCACATAGTTACATTTATACTTTTTTCTAAGTTCATGGCATATTTAGCAAGTATATATTTTGTTTTTTCCTGCTCCTTAGCTAATATATATATTGAGCTCCTTAGAATTGAGCTGCATTAGGTAATAATTGATTAAATCAGTGTGGTGATTTAAGAGCACAAGTTCAGTTTTGTTTTGATCACTTAGTTTATAGTTTTTCCAAAGACATGTCTTTATCAATCAGAACAACATGGTGAATGAGTATAAAAACAAATGAAGTCCATTTTGAGTATAGAAAAGGTTCAAGTACTGCTCAGGGTCAGCTGTTATTATCATCTTCATGTAGTGTGAATAGTATATTTTTAGTTCTGAAATAAAAAAAGATTTTTGAATTTTTGTGAACATTTTAGAGAATAAAATTTGGTACATTTATCAAGGAAAAATATTGTACTTTATGTTTGACATGACGATATTTTGAGAAATGTCAAATTTAAAATACACTGGCATTTGTTTAAGTATGCTTTGAAAAATACTGTTAGAATTTACCAGCTGGGTAGGGTGGTGCATGTTCATAGTCCTAGCACTGAAGAATCTGAGACGGTGGATTGAGTGGTCTAGACCAACTTTCACTACATACTGGGACCCTGTCTGAAAACAAACACCCCAAATAAAGGATTCCATTGAAGGTTGCTTTTGTGTCACAGTGATAGAGTGCTTGCCTAGCATATGAGAGTCTTGAGTTCCATCCTTAATGTTGTAAGAACAAACAAAAACAAAATCAATAAAATTGATCAAATGACAAATATGTGGATTTTAAGAACCACTTTTTAGGGAAGTTTAGATAAGGGCTAATCAGATAAATCACTATTAAGTATGACGTTTTGCACAGTTTCTACACATAGTTAAAAATTTCATACTAGAAAATATTTTTTACCCCTTCTGTATATAATTAATCTTCATTCTTAGTTTATGTTTTTCTTGTACCATAACTTTCTGTAAACATTTTCCAATAATTCATTTCAAATGATATTTGTGAATTTTTAAAAAATATTAGTTGGAGGCTGTGTGTACTTTCCTCCCTCCAATATAATCTAATTGTTGACCACAGTGTATGTGGCCTAAGAGATTTGATGAAGCACACCACTACCTGCTTTCTGAAACTTAAAGAATAGTTGAGTGTATATCTTTTGTACCTAGCTGAAGAAAGAGTTGTGTTTAGAATAATAGGAAGAAAATACTGATTTTTCAAAATTTTCTTGATATCCTTTACTTCTCATTTTGTTGAGAATGAAAGTACAGGGTTGGGAATGTGGCTTAGTGTAAAGTGCTTGCCTAGCATGCATGAAACCCTAGGTTCAATTCCTCAGTACCACATAAAGAGAAAACGCCAGAAGTGGTGCTGTGGCTCAAGTGGTAGAGTGTTAAGTTTGAGCAAAAGAAGCTCAAGGACAATGTTCATTCCCTGAGTTCAGGACTGGCAGAAAAAGAATGAAAGTATATGAGTAAAGAGTTTTTGATTTTTCCATTCCCCTGTATAATACAGAACATTTTGTTCCTACCATTGTCATATTAGATTTTCATCTATTGCTGTGACTTATCATTGTAGCCTAAGTAGAACATCACTTAATAGCACATCTTCCATAGGCTTTATTTGTACGATAGTTTGTAATTAGCACAAAAAAGCATCCAGAATCGTACCTTGTTCAAAACTGGTACACAGTTATATTTCTTTTGGTTAATTGGCTCTTTAAAAATTAAATCAAATGTTTAATCAGGAGTTTTTAATTTAACTAAAAATTATATGTTATCCGAACTATGATTTTCTTTAAGAGGTGTGCAAAAGTAATTTCTATCTTTACCTGTTTTTTTTAAAAACCATCTTTTTTAGATGCTACCAAATATGAACATAAAAACATCTTAGATAAAAATCAGTGACCTTAATGTAATATGTCTAAGTTTTGGAGGCATTAAAATATTTTATGAGGAATTTACTTATATGCTTTTATTCTTAACATTGAGAAAACTATTCATTATTGTAGACTCTTAAAAAATCACTATTATCTTCTCATAATGATAAATGCAATATTTTTACCTGGTAGGTCAAGGATATATGATGTGTATATATTTTTTAAGTTTCACAGAGTAGGGGTGGAAGCTATGTAAGTATTAACATAGTCATTATAATTTCTTATTTGTTAATGTTAATTAGAAATAATTTATATAGAATAAGATTAACCTCAAATATCAGGAAATAATAACTAGGACAACTCCTTTGACTTTGTACTGTATTGCTTTAGCTTGCTGCTGTGTGAAGGTAAATGCAGTACTAACACTAGGCTAAAAGCATATATGTACTTCAGAACTAGAGGAAATTAACAACTACTCATTTTGCATTCAGTGATGGTTTTCTTGTAGCTGTTTTGCCATTTGTTTAGTTAATACTATTTTTAAAGACTGCATTATATTGGGTGAAATTATCTTGAGTGTAACAAGAGGTCATTGTACATAATTAATAATCCAAAATGGAAGTGGAGACAGAGGAATTGATAGTTCATGACCAGCCTAAGCTACATTTTAAGACTTTGTCCCAAAAAATAAGCAAGCAAACAAATGACTCTAAAAAGTAGCAACCCCAAAACCCAATACTTCAAAACCAGTCTTAAAAATCAATGTCTTAAAAATATTATTCTATGATGAATAAATTTTAGGTATTTTTGTACGTTGTACCTATAGTTAACAATACTGTGTTAAAAACTTAAAAAGAGCCAACAGCCAAGCATTGGTGGCTCATACCTATAATCCTAGTTACTTAGGAGGCTGAGATCTGAGGATTATGGTTCAAAGCCAGTCTGGTCAGGAAAGTCTGTGACATTCTTACCTCCAATTAACCACCAGAAAACTGAAAGTGGCACTGTGGCTCAAAGTGGTAGAGCACTAGTCTTGATCAAAAAAGTTCAGGGATAACACTCAGACTGTGAGTTCAAGTCCCATGACTGACAAAAGAAAAAAAAAACCAATGAGTTAACAGAACCACCACTGGTGCCTTATGCCTGTAATCCTAGCTACACAACAGGCTGGGATCTGAAGCCAGCCTGGTCAAGAAAGTCCAGGACACTCTTATCTTCAATTAACCACCAAAAAGCCAGAAGTGGAGCTGTGGCTCAAGTGGTAGAGTGTTAGCCTTGAGCAAAGAAGCTCAGGGATATTCGTCAGGCCCTGAATTCAAGCTCTAGGACTGGCACCATAAAAAGTTAACAGAGTAGATTTTATGTTCAATATTTTTACCACAAAATACACATTTTTGTTTTCTAGAATGAGAAAAAAAATTGTGGCAGGAGATTAGAATAAAATGTATATCAGAATGTCCTCATTTTTGGTGCTAATCATCAAAGGGAATATTCTTCATATTGATTTGAGAATAAAAGAAAGGAAATTCTGTTGAAAAAATAAAATAATACTGGTTTGTAAATTATTGAGCCAGATTTACAAATTTTCATCAGCTCTACTCATGTTGTAGGATTAGTAAATTATCATCTTTCTCATGTAATAACATTAGAAACGAGACTACTATTTATATTATGATCTTCTCATGTGGATTAAGAAGATGTTCAATATCTTAAAATAGGATTATTGTCTTAAACAAGAATTAAAATATATATTGGCTTCTGTAATCAATAGCTTTAAGTTAGCTGATTCATATTGTATTTTTATGACTTCTGACTTATTCTATAGTACTTTCTGTTTTGTCTTTCCTTTTAATAATTATTTTATTTGCTTTTAGGTGTGTCCTGAGGGTTTTTCTTTATTGTGGAAGGATGTGCTTCTGAGTGTGATATAGATAGATAACAAAAAACAAATATGAAAAGTTAAACAATTAAAATATAATTAAGGATCATGGAATGTAAAATCAGACTGAGAACTTTATTATTTTCATTCAAAATTGTAGAAATTATCACATTATCTGTTTTTTATTTGTTTATATCAAGATTTCAAATTGAGGAGAATCAATTAGACCTCTAGTTTGTTAAAACTATTTGGAGAGTTCTTTCAACTCTTGAAACCTAGCCATTCTTCTTTTCTGCTTTCTTTACTAATGACTTCCTTATCTCCTCCAAAAACATCATCTTCCTTCTCCCATTTTTTGCTTTGATTGATATATGTGAAATGTGAATATAGATGGAGGCCTTTAAGTTATAGATCATCATTCAGTGACAAACTCTTCCAGAGGACCAGAGCAGCAGGACGGAAATCAAGGTATCTAGAGTTGGTAGAAGCCTTAAGTATTAAGGGGCTAGGTTCATGAAGCTGAATTGTGTAGTCTTACTTAAAATAAGTACGGGACTGTTAGGGAAGTGTGTTAGATAAGTAGATATTTATTTTAACATTGGTTAGTTATCACAGAGTAAAATATAAAATGTTATAAAATATCACACAGGTAAAATTTCTGGTTTATTATATTGTGTAGGAAATGGAACCAACTTGTTTTTGGCTCCAGTATGACTGTTGCATGCCAGTCATCACAATTGTAGTGAGTGTGGTGTGGAGAGTAATCAAATTTTTATTAACTACTTCTGTCCTTTTAATAATTCTGGTATTTTCCTCAGGATAGTACTTATTGCCATTAAAAAAATAAAACACATTATTTTTAACATTTTATTTTTGTTTTCATAGATAAGGAATAACATTTTATTTCCTTTTGCTACCTATAGTCTTCTGGTTTTAGGTATTTAAGGAAATTTTAGTTTATATCTAAACCAATGGTGATTTCATACCTCACAGTGTCTTCTTAGTGAGGCTATACTAGATCCAAGCTAGTGCAGAGATCTATATGATGGAAATTCGATTGTTTATACCTACCAAGTTCTATTTATGTCATTTTGTATCAATTAATATGTAGTTTAAATTTTTTCTGTATTTTAACCCTTGATATTTGAAGATTTCATTTTGGATCACATGTTTTTTAATTCGTTTTTTAATACTAAACTTTAAAATGAAAACTCAAGTCACATTTATTTCTGTAGTGATATTAAAAATCTTGAATATATAAGTATGCTAGAGAAATATTAATTCATTATTTTGACATTCAGATTATATTTAGAAAGATAAAATTATGAACAAATAGTACTCTCTTATGTCTCATCATTTTTCATTTTCTTTGTTTTAATTTTCTTCTAATCCAGTTTCATTTGGTTATTAAACATTGTGGATTTTTAAGGGATTGAACTTTAGTAATGGTTTACATTTAGAATTAAAGTTTATTATTGGCTTTTGGCAACATAATTATGTACATGTATTAACATAATTCATATTATTTGCTGGGAAAACCAAATCACTTATAATGTTATCTAAAAAGTCTGTATCTCTTTAACTTCTGTCTCAGCCACAAATCAGATATATGGCTAGAAGGTATATAAGCCTTTAAAAAGGATGTGTAAAAGAAGATGCATGAATTGGTGAATTTCAGTCTTTCATAAATAGTGTGCTTATGGGCATCTGATATAAATAGCATTTAAGTATTTTCTAGCAAAGATCTTCATGGACTAGATCAAGTCTATTTTGGAGATATTTCATGTCTGCATATGTTGTATTCTTTTAGTGTATTTTATAATTAATATGTTGATTTACTTCTAGGATTCTTAATCATTCAACTTCTGTCATTAGAAACAAGCTGAAACAAACTGTGGAATGTGAAAAGAGGTACAAATATATCTTATTCTTTATATTTAGTATTTTATATTGAGACTTGATCTTATAGCAGTTTTTCTTCAAATGGGCTGTAATTGAATAAATTATATAAAAACAATGTAATGAGATAATTTACGATATGTCACAAGTAAATTAAACTTAGTTTTGATATAAACAAAACAAAACTACTATTTTTGTTTAGTCCTAGAATTTGTCTTGATAATAGAATTACCTATTCACTTAGCATATTTTTTGTATTGCTGTTACTATCAGTAATGTGATCTTCCTAGTTGTTTGTTCTTTATGTTACTGTTTACTTTTTGATTATTTCAATTGGATGCTGCATATTTTTTCTATAAGTACGTAATCTAAGTCTACATAAACAAATTCTAAAGAAGTAAAAGATGTTAGACATTTTCTTCATATTGCTTTGGTAGTTTGAAAATTTACGTTGGACTCAACTCTTGAGTCATCCATGGGAGTGTATAGTTCCAAGTCTGGGCAGAAGTACGGAAGCACACAGAATTAACATTTGTGAATGCCTGTTACATGTGTACTGTTCTTAATGTTTCCGATGTGTAGTCTCATTTAATCCTCACAGTAATAAGAAGTTGTTACTTTTGATTATCCCCATTTTATAGATGAATAAACTTGAGACTCAGAAATCAACAAAAGTTACCTCAAGGTTGTATAGCTAGTAAGAGGTACAATCAGAATTTAAATTCAGACTTGTTTGGTTCAGAACTCTAAGTTTTAATATGAAGTAACAAAGAACACTTCATAGTTTGAAGCCAGTCAGGGCAGAGAAAAGTCCCTGTGAGACTCTATTGTTACCCCTCGTTTTTTCTCACTTTCCTTCCCCCCCCCTCCCCTTACCCCCTAGTTGTGAAGCTTATTACCAACATATTGTCTTGTGAGTATCGCTGTTGCATTGGTTCACCCTTTGTCCTTTGTCTTACCATTTTGTTGTTTCCCTTCCCTTCCCCAAATCAGATAAATGTATATACAAGATGCAGGATACCAAAATCAAATACAGTGACAACTGGGGATAAACCAAAGGAAAAAAATGAAAGAAAAAAGAAATAACTTCAGACAGTATGTTAAAAAAAAAACAAAGAAAAACCTCATGTTTCCATATCATGGAGTACATTTCTATTAGTATCATCTTATATGGTCATGTGTACATAGCTATTGAGCTATTGTGATCCTCTGCTAAGACTATCCTAGACATATTCTAATTATTACAAATGAATGGAGCCTATATTTCTTTAGGTCTAGCTTAATATGATTTTTTCCATCTTTCCATTTCTTTATGAATTATCTCCAATTAACCACTCAAAAACTGGAAGTAACACTGTGGCTCAAAATGGTAGAGTGCTATCCTGCAGTGAAAGAACTCAGGGACAGAGCCCAGGCACTTAGTTCAAGCCCCATGAATGACAGAAAAAAATACGTAACTTCTGTTCTGTGCAAGAATGATGGTTCTGAACTATAAATGCAACAGTGCATTTCCCACTTCTTGTTTGCTAGTGTCTTTTCTTTTTATATATTTTTATTTTTTATTTTTTTGGGGGGTCTAGTCGTGTGCCTGAACTCTGGGCTTGGGCACTGTCCCTCAGCTCTTCAGCTCAAGGCTAGCGCTCTACCACTTGAGGCACAGCACCACTTCCATATATATATATATGTATATATATATGTATATATATATATGTATATATGTATATTTATAACTTAAACATTTAGCTTAATTCCATGAGGCTGAGGTGGGTTTCTGCGTACCATCAGCATATATAAAAATTCATCATCTTCATTCTTCCACTGGCACCATTTCAGATTAGGAACAGAAGTTCTTTATTTTTTCCAGCATGATTTCATACTTCTGTGTTCTATAATCTTGTCTCAGTGCAAAGATTACCCCTTTTCCTTCTTTAATTTATGTAATCTTTCATAATCCAGTTCATTTTCCCTCAGCTCTGGTGAGATCTTTATGTTACATGTCATCACAATGTTGGGTGATGTTTTGAAGCAATTGATCATGGGGTAAGAGACATTCAGGGCAGGCTCACTTTTTTGAAAGCAACAAATTCTATGGAAACCAACTGGGTCCCACAGCACTATAGCAATCCCTTCCTAATAGACTGCCTCTAATTACCTTGCACTAAGCACCACTTACATTTTTTTACCATTTTTTATTGGTTTTATTTTTAATGTTCCTTTTTATTTAAGTAGTTTTACAAAGGAATTTCAATCAATACATCAGTTTATGAATATAATGAATCTTGATCAATGTCACCCCTTCCATCATTCTCCTCCCATCTCTCCCAACTCTAACCATCTCCTCAAGTTACCTGGTACCATTTTCACAGATGCACATTGAATATTGTGACTGTATTTGTCCATGATTCCTCTCTCCACTCGTCTTCCTTCCCTCCTCCACTTTACCTCCCCTTCTAATAAAATATGTTTCGGCTTCCTGATATTCATTTTTTCGTGCTGGTTCTGGGGCTTTAACTCAGGGTCTGGGTGTTGTCCCTGAGCTTTTGTGCTTATCAATGCTAGCATTTCACCAATTGCTCCACTTTTAGCTTTTTTTTTTTTTGTTAATTGGAGATAAGAGTCTCATGGACTTTCCTTCCTTGCACTGACTTTGAACCACAGTCTTCAGATCTCAGTCTCCTGTTTTGCTAGGACTACACTAACATTAGCTACTGGGGCCCAGCTTAAATATTAATTTGTTCAAGAGTTATATCATTGGAATCCTCCCCTATGTATGTACCATAGTTTAGTCATTTTGTTTGTATATATTTTCATGTGACCCTGTTTGTTTTCATATATGCTTATAAATTAGATCTAACTTTCACATGAGAGAAAACATGCACCTTTTATCTCTTTGAGCCTGACTTCAGATGACATCATCATCATCATCATCATCATCATTATTATTATTATTACATAATTATTGCACTCTTGGCCTCTTTAAATTCCTTAGAGAAGTCGTATATAAAAAGGTTTATAGAATGTAAACCCATTTTGATATTTACTGTAGATGAAGTTATTAGAAATTTAAATATACTTTGTCAATTGGAAATTTCATGTTATTAGTTTAAAGGCTAGGTTTGGATACAGTCTTTACATTCCTGTTGAAAAATAAAGGCAACTTTATAATGTTCATAAGCAAAGGATTTTTTTCTAAGTACCTTATCACATAATAAAACATATTTAATTTTTTAGTGTCTCGGCAGATGAAGTTAATTCACCATTATCTCCCCTTACATGGCAGGTAAGAGGAAATTAAATCACTAATATATGCATATTATTTTGGTCTCAATTGGTTAGTTACAAAAAATTATTTCATTATAGCCCTTAGAGAATCAGAAGGATCAAATAGTTGAACAACATTGGCCAGAATCTCAACCTATAATCTGGCAAAGTGAAGAAAGGAGGCGGAGTAAACAGATTAGAAAGGAATATTTCAAGGTACATTATTCAATTTTAAAATTTATTTTGTATTTGTTAATTTTGAAAGTGTCAAGTTTTGGTTTAAGTCAATAATATTAAATTCTAAAGCTAAATATAGCAAATATTTATCTTGATTTCTCATGTATATGTGGAATATATATGGTATTTAATTATATCTATAAAATTTTAGTAATTAAATCATCAAAGCGAGTAGATCAATATAAAGTATGATTTACAAAATATTTTCAATGAAAAATGAATTTTTATTTGTTACACTACTAGTTATAGCAATTAATGGTATGTTTGGGTTTTAAGAAGATAGAATCTTACAATGTAGCCCAAAGCTGGTTTACAACTCTTTTTTGTTTTATTTTGTTTTTGCTGTTACTAGGGCTTGAACTCCAGGCCTGGGAATTGTCCTTTAGCTTTAGCTTCTTTTTGCTCAAGATTGGTGCACTACCACTTGAGCCCACAGCTCTACTTCTGGCTTTTGGTTGGCTGATTGGATAAGAGTCTCAAGGGCTTTCCTGCCTGGAGTGACTTTGAATTCCAACAATCAGTTGTCAGGCTCCCAAGTACTAGGATTGTACTAGTGAGCCACTAGTGCCCAACTGGCTTACAACTCTTAAGCCTCCTGCCTTATCCTACCAAATATAGGGATTTCAGGCTTGTGCCACCATGCCTGGCTCAAGAAAGGACTTTTATTGAATTTGTTTCAACAAATAATTGACAGGTATTTACGATTAGTAGTTAAGTATTTCTATTATGTTACTAAATACAATTTACATTTTGCTAAAATATTTGTGATTTCATTCATTTCCCCCCTTTTTATTATCTTATATTTCTTGAGCAAATCTGTTATCTTACAGGAAACTCCAGAGTATTTGAATTGTCCCAAACCTTTAGTTAGTAGGTGGTTAATAAAATTTTGTTGCATATGTTATTATAAATATTGTGTTATTGTCTTATTTGTATTTAATGTCTGCCATATTCACAGAGATTAATCATCAGAATTTAGGATGATTTTTAGTATTTGCCAGAATTTATTGTTAGAATTTGACTTAAATGAACAGTACAAACATCCTCCTCCTCCATGAATAGCAAATTTTGTTGTCTTAAATCTTTTCTGTTTCCCATAGCACAGTTCTTATCTGGTTATACTTTGATTTAAACACTTGTAATTTAGCTAGCTTATAGTCAGTTTTCAGTTCATACCACTAATAAAAAGGATCTGTTTATCTTTTTTCTGTGTAGTAAAAATAGATCTGTCACTTCACATGAATATCTTTCTTTGTTTTTTTGGTGTTTTGTATTTTTTAATAAAGTTTGTAATCCAATGGACACACAAAACAAAACTGCACTGAGGAAAACAGTTTCATAAATTAAGAGTGTTAGGAGGTCTGGGACATGAATATCTTTCTATATATGAGAGTGTAACAAGTATTTGGATGTTGCATATAACCAAAGCAAAGTGTTACATGTCTTAGCAAATCAGTGACACATTTAACCCTTCAGCAAATAATTACTGGGCATTTTTAACAACCCTACTGTCAGTTGGCCAGTATAAAATATAAATAAAATAAAGACATGAGTAAAAGGAAGTCATTCTAAGGAGATCTTTGTTCAGTAATGATGAAAGTAATTTCATCTCAACCCTTTTAGATCTTCACTGAATATTTACAGGGACATTTATCGTAAATTTCCCCCTTTTTAGTTCTTGAGACCTTGAGCCAAGAAACTGAATAAAATGTTTGTAAATAGAACTTAGATCTAAGAGATCAAATGGTATTATACTTGAAATGACTATTATATAATCATCATTCAGTAGTTGCTTATTTATTACTTGATAAAATAGGTGCAAAAATAAGCTTCTAGTTGAGTAGCAGTGGCTCGTGCCTGTAATCCTAGCTACTCAAGAGGCTGATATCATGGTTCAAATCCAGCCCAGGCAGCAAAATGTGAGACCCTTATCTCCAATTAACCAACAAAAAATCAGATAGGACTGGGACTCAAAATGGTAGAGAGAGCGCTAGCCTTTAGAGATCGCGTAAGCGCGCGCGCACACACACACACGCGCACACACACACACACACACACACACACACACACACACACACACACAGCTTCAGTCACTGGAAAATGTTTTCAGGAGATGTGTAGTTCTCCTTACTTGTCAGAAGGTGTCAGTGTGAGGACATTGAAAAAAATTTAATATGCCAAGTTTTTGTTTTGTTTTTTTTCCTCTGAAATCAAGAAAAGGTAAAATCAAAGGGGATAAGAGTAGTTTAATGGTAGAACATGTATAAAATATATGTGGAGGCTTGGGTTTAATTCCTAACATTCCTAACATCAGACTCCAAAAAAAAGAAAAAGACCAGTATAACATATATTAAGATTTTGTTGTAATCTGAAGTACAATTTGGAATCGCCAGTATTTCCATTATTATAGAATCTTCTATTAGTTATAACATGTCTTCTTTCAAAGGAAAAACATAGTTTTCTTTTATTTCATTTTTAAAATTAGTTTTGAAAATTTAAGTATTGTGCAAAAGGGTTTCAAGACTTTTCTTAATCACCAATATTTTCTAAAAATCAAAGCATTCACTTTTACACGTATTATTGAAACTATTTGGATCTATAATTCATTAAGAGCAGTAAATATAGTACTCTAGAGATTTTATGAAATTATTTCTGAGAAGTGATGGCTCCTTTACATTGGCAGGGCTATAAAATATACAGAGCTTTAAACTAAGCCACATATTTCCTTATTTCTATTCCATGGTAAATTATTCATAATGCTGTTATTCGTATACTTCTTGAAAGCATCTGCGTATGTATGAACATGGGTATGCATACAAAACTCAGATCTCTGTTTTACTTCATCGTTGCCAAAAACAATGTCAAATATTTTTTTTTCAGCTAAGTCTCTGAAACTTATAAGTTAAAAAGATGCAGCATATTGGCTAGATTGTGTGAGCAGGAAGATAAATTGGATTAGATTATTTGAGTAAGTAATCATGGTAGAGAGGTACATTAACTTTTAAATTTTAAATTGTATAGAAAACTACTTTCACCTATAAAATTTTGTTTCCTCTGGGCACCAGTGGCTCACGCCTGTAATCCTAGGTACTCAGGAGGCTGAGATCTGAGGATCACGGTTCAAAGCCAGCCCTGGCAGGAAAGTCTGTGAAACTCTTATCTCCAATAAACCACTAGAAAACCAGAAGTGGCGCCATGGCTCAAGCGGTAGAACACTCGCCTTGAGCTAAAGAGCTGAAGGATAGCACCCAAGCCCTGAGTTCAAGCCCCACAGCTGACCAAAAAAAATATTTGTTTCCAAACTACTCCTTATTTCATTTTCCAATCAAAATTATTCCCAGAAATATATTGCTTGAGTAAACATATATTACAGAAATTCATTGATGTTCTTTTAATAGGGCACATATGAAGTATGAAAATCTAACCTTATGTTGCTATTTAAATTAGTGGCTTTAATTTTTTGTAAGAATAACACATGAATTTCTAAATGAACTTAATGGCTGATTTCTAAACAAAATACCCAATGCACAAGAATATTTACTTAATTTGTTTAAATGCCATGTATACCTTCAAATATATGTGATTACTGTTGAGATAAAACATTATAGTGTCTTAAAATACATAGTGATTTCATAGACTATAATATTTTTATTTAAAGATTAATTCCAAGGAAAATATTTGAAAAGTATTCTCATGACCATTGTCAGCCTTATTCCGGACTAGGAAGACCAGCTGGGTTTATAAACTAACCTGATTTGTTCTCAAAAAGAGTTTTTGCACAAGTTATTGTCTTCTATGAAATTAAAGTGAATTTCAAAGATGAACTGACTGACCTTTTTGATACACTAGTTTCAACATAGGTTTTTATTGTAGCATTTAAACAGAAATAATAAAACTTTAGTATTCAGTCTAATGGGGGATTGCTTAGTTGACTCAGTAAACGTTGGACTTGTAGTATACTGTTAAATGTCTTGGTTTTAAGGCAAAACTTAGTTTTCATGAATAATGAATATTTAAATTAGAATAGTGTTTAAGTAGCAATAGTACATTGCCTCTTATCTCAGCTCTTGGCTATATCATCTTACGTTTCTTTGCTGTCCAGCTATCCACTCCTTTCTCTTTCTCTACTTTGCATTTTGTAAATATGCCCAAACTTCTACTGTGGGGGAGAAAATAACTTTTTCTTGCTCATTGCAAGGGTCATGGTTGAGACCCATTTGACAACAGACAAATTCCTGGGAAAAGTTTAATGTAACATGGGATACTTCAGAAACAAATATTTTAAGATCAAGGGAAAACTAGTTATGCTCCATCTGGTGCATGAGGTAGATAGCTGTGCAAATAGTGGTGTGAACTGATGGTAATCAACGGAGGGGACTCAGCAAGGCCTGTTTGTTCAGGCTCTTTGCTGTATCTCTGTGTGACTTCCATTCTTCCCCACTATGTGAGGGAGACATGTGACATGAAACCTGTGCATGTGACAGTATTAGGAAAAGAAGGCAGCAGGTCAAATGAACTGATCTTTATAGGTCTTTTGTCTTGCCGTAGGGTAGAGGAAGATATTTTCTATGACTTACTGTGTGGGAGAAAAATAAGGTGAAGAAAAGAGAGCAGGTTAGAGAATGACCTCCAGGTTATTACAGTTTGTGTAGTGTTTTCTGAGTCCCAACACTACCGCCATCCCAGACTCCTGCTTCATTAGATTCCTTTTGTTAGCAACAAATTTGCCATTTATAATTCCTCAGTTTTTTGTACATTTTTTATTGTAAAAATGTTGTACAGAGGGATTACAGTTACATGAGCAAGGTAATGAGTACATTTCCTATTGAGCATTGTTGCCTCCTCCTTTCTGATGATTCTTTTTTTTTTCTCACTGGAATCTGGCTTTCACTTCAGTTTCTTCATTGAACTGTCCTTCACTAGAGGTTAATGTGAAGTACTAATGCCAAATCCAATGTAGCATTTGACAGTGATGGCCATATTTTCTTCATCCTTTCTTGGTTTCTATCCCATTTTCTTCTCTGATTATTCTTCCATTATCTTCTTGATGTTATTTCCCCTTTTCTTTATGGTACTGGAGTTTGAACTCAGAGTTTGCACTTGCCAGGTAGTCTCCCTACTGCTTGTACCATACTTCCAAACCTTTGCACTCTAGTTATTTTTAAATAGTGTCTCAATTTTGCCTAGACAAGCACTGCAATCCCCTATTTATGCTTCCTGTGTCCCTGTAACAGGTGCATGCCAGTACATCCAGCATTTTTTCTGATGAGATGGAGTCCTGCAAATATTTTGTTGCCTAAGCTGCCCTGTAACTGTGGTCATCCTGTTTTCAGCCTTCAGCAGGTATGCAGTGCCATACCTGCATTTGATTGAGATGGAATTTTGTGAACTTTTGGCCCTGGTTGTCATTGAATAATGTTTCTCCCATTTTCCATCTCTCAAGCAATTAGGATTATAAGCGCAAAACACTGGTGTTTAGTATTGATGTTCTTGTTTGATTTCTCTTCTGACATTTTTCTACTTGATTTTAATGTCTCTTTTCCTTTTTAATTACTCTTAAAGCTCTCTGCTGAGAGTTGACTCCACATGTTTTTTTTAAAATATTCTACTTGGTTTGAATTTGTATTCTATTATTCTTTTCTGGTTTCCACACTTGTGTTTCTAATTGCTTGGATGTCTTGCATGTATTTTAAATTCAATATGCCTCTTCCTCACAATCCCCATGATAAAACTTACTTCTGCTTCTGTAAGGGCAATATTTCCATCTTCTTTCATTCTTTCACTTTCTCTTCCCCCTTACTTGATTGGTCATCCAATCTGCTAAATATATATCATTTTTAAAAAAATTATTTCTATCTCTACTATCCTTGCCTTGTTGTAATCTTTATACATTCTTTTCTTTATAAGTATTTCTTAATCTCCCCCCTTTTACAACCCTTGGAGAAATCCTCTGGCTCTTTATTGGCTCCCTACTACAAACAAAATAGTTTGGACTACTTGACATTTTTTGTGAGATGTTTCTTACCTAATTCTTACATTTCCTTACTTCCCTCAATTCACTTTCTACATAGCCTTGGTGAAAAAAATTGTGTGTGTGTGTGTGTGTGTGTGTGTGTGTGTGTGTTGATACCTGGGCTAGAGCTCAGCTCCTCTTACTGAAGTGTTTGACTTACAGCCAGTACACTACAATTCGAACTATGCCTCTGGTCTGGCATTTTTACTGGTTAATTGGAAATGAAGTTTAGTGAATTTTTCTTCCCATGCTGACTTCTAACTGGAATCCTCTGATCTCAGCCTCCTGGGTAACTAGCAGTGCAAGGGTGAGATATCAGTGCCCCGTTCCTGAACTACTTTTGTTTTCTACATTGGCTGTGTGTTTTTCATTTCTATTTTTTTCCATATTCTGAAAATACATGCTGGCCCTTTTATTTCTGGAAAACTCTTACTAAACATACAGGTTTTAGAAATGGGTATGTAGCATATTGCCTGAGCTTCTAGAACCAAATCACTTGACTCTTATTCCTTAGATGGATATTTACTAATTGTTCGGCAAGCCGTATTACCCTTCTGAGCTTACTATTATTATTATTGTTGGTGTTGTTGTCTACAAATAAGTCTAATAGCATCTTCTCTCACAGGATTGTTATAAGTATTAAATTCTTTATTAAGATACAGTTCTTAGACTAGCACTTCACACAGCAGAATCACTTAATAAACATTAGTCCATTGCTCACTTAAATGTCTCCATTTCATTGAAATAGACTAGAACCAAAAATAATTACCTCAGATTACCTTTTACCTAGGGATGCCAATTTGTTTTTACATACCAACTTCATTTAGTGGCTAAAAGTTTCCAAGGTTATGTCTGGGGTCAGTGGGAAAGAAATGCATACTGGTAGAGTAATCATAGTTGTCAGAGGACAGACACTGTTGGAACATATGTTTTGTATTTGTAATTTCTAAGACAGCTTACTGTGCAGCTTGTGATTGAGACATCAGATAGGTTATCTTTCTCAAAGTTTGGATATACTCTGAAAATAAGTAAATTTTCTGAAAGGACAGTCATGAGCTGCCAAGTAGAAAAATAATCCATTAACAACTTGTAGGAGAAATCAGGTTATTATGAGGAGGAATCGAATTAATTCCAACAGCCTGGCACTCTAGCTACTCAGGAGGCTGAAGTCTGAGGATTTCAGTCAATTCCTGGCAGGAAAGACCATGAGACTCCAATTACCAAAAAAAGTTGGAAGTAGAGCTATGGCTTAAGTGGGTAGAATTCCAGCTTTGAGTGAAAAAGCTAAGGGACAATGCCCAGACACTGAGTTCAAGCCTCAGTACTGGTATATATGCACACATATACACACATAAAAAATAAGGAAAAGAAAAGAGTGCAAGTGGATATCATACTGTATTTTTTTATTCTTTCTTAGAAACAATTGTGTTACATATTAACATTTTTTATGTTGATCATGTTATCTCTGAAATCACTGTAAAAGAAGGATATAGTGTGGGCTGGGAAGGTGGCTGAGTGGTAGAGTGCTTGCCTTGCATGCATGAGGCCCTGGGTTCGATTCCTCAAGACCACATAAGCAAAATGAAAAAAAGCCAGAAGTGGTGGTGTGGCTCAAGTGGTAAAGTAATAACCTTGAGCTGAAGAGCTGAGGAACAGTGCCCAGGCCCAGAGTTCATCCCCCATGACCGACAAAAAATGAAATTAAAGAAAATGTTAAAAAGAGGGATATAGTATGGAGGTAATAATACTGTTATGAAGATTAAATGGATTAAAATATGTATAAGGCATCTTATACTAGTTTGTAACAAGCACTAGTGTATTATCATCATTATTATTGAATAGTCAATATTATGTGCAATGTAGTGTTTTATAAAACTTGAAATGATTGGAATTTTATCTTCTTTTGGGGGGTTTGAGATGTGAAGATTGAACCCAGGATTGTCACATGCTAGGCAAGCACTCTACCTTTGAACTATATACCTCCCCACACTTCAGATTTCTTAATAATAGATGAGAGATAATGAGGGCGTAGCATAGGATATTAGCTATAATGATGTACAAGGAATATGTCTGAGAGAAATTTAAAAAGAATTGACTTGATGGACTATTGTGTATAGTAAGTAATGGAAGAACTCTCAGATTATGAAACTGAATGAATGGGAAATGGGATTGTAGGAAGGGAACATTACTTGATGTATTGAAAGTACTTAGAAAATTGTCTTGCACATAGCATTATACAGATTAATTTGCAGTGGGACTGTTTAAACTGATTATATATCTAAGTTTAACATCAAGTGATTCAATAAAAGTATAAAACAGGAATAAGCCTTACATAATTTACAACCAGAGAATTTAGATGTTCAAGGAAAAATAAAGTATATGTTTATATATTTTTCAGTATAAATCCACAAGGAAGAGTTCAAGTGTCAATGAAAATGATGAGGTGAGAACAAGAGGGTAATATTAACAGTATTTGAAATGTTGACTTGTGATATTTATTTGACTCAAGTAAATGCAACTCATCTTATAGTTTCTTTGCTAGTGATTTAATTGATAAGAAACCTGAGTATCATAAAATAATTAATGATGTGATTTCCATATGTTCTTCAAAATAGAATTGGTAATAATTTTTGAATATTATTATATCTATAATCTGTAAATTTAGCTTGTTATCTTTCCCCAACTTTTTTTTTCCTAAATCATCTTGGTAGTCAATTGAGATTTTCCAGATGAACTCCTTTTACAAACTCTTCAAATTTGTGTTACTATTTTAAAGTGTTAAAGTAAATTTGGACAGGTTAAACATTGCTGTAAGTTTTCTATTATACTAGGTTAATCCTTGTAGTAGTATAAAACTGTCAAAGCAAGAGATCTTTTCCCCACAAATACCTAAGCTTATTTATTTTTTCCCTGCAGAAATTTGTAATTAATTTGATTTTGGGTACTTGGCAGGACTTCTGAAAATGCCTTACTTTAAAAAATTCATCTGCAAGTATTTAAAGTTACAATTCAATGTTTCTATAAGCATTTAGGACAGTTTTTTTGCCCATTGATAAAGATTATCTTGACTTTCCAGGAATCTAAACTACAGGATCAATTGTTGGTAAACAGCTCAGTTCCTCAAACAGATATCTGATTTCAGGTTATTCAGTAGTCTCCTGCTTTCCAGTTGTTGGAACATTTCCTTTGTGATACTGCTTTTGATCTACCTTTATTTGTGTGTGTATGTGCATGCGTACTCATGCGCGCCAGTCCTGGGACTTGAACTTTGGGAAATGCCTTACTTTTAAGAATTAAAAGTCACACAGGGGCTGGGAAGGTGGCTCAGTGGTAGAGTGCTTGTCTTACATGCATGAGGCCCTGGGTTCGATTTCTCAGCACCACATAAACAAAAAGAAAAAAAGCCGGAAGTGGGGCTGTGGCTCAAGTGGTAGAGCACTAGCCTTGAACTGAAGAGCTGAGGGACAGTGCCCAGGCCCAGAGTTCAGGCCCCACGACTGGAACCCCCTCCCCCCAAAAAAAGAATTAAAATCACACAAGAAAAAATAATGAACACAACCTCATGATTTACCTTTCCCCAGACCAAATACCAGTATCTCTCTATGCCCTTTCCAGTAGTATTAACTGGGATACAAAAAAGACAGTTCTAAGCCGGAGCTGATGGCTCACACCTGTAATCCTACCTACTCAGGAGGATAAGATCTAAGGTTCAAAGTTCAAAGGTAGCCCAGCAGAAAAGTCAATGAGACTCTTATTTCTAATAAACTACTCAGAAAAAGCCTAAAGTAGTGCTATGGCTCAAGTGGTAGAGTGCTAGCCTTGAGCACAAAGAAGATCAAGAATAGTGCCCAGGCCGAGTTCAAGCCCCAGGACTAGCAAAAAATAAAAAACCAGTTTTGCCAAAACCTGTCTACCTTTTCACTGTTATTATCTGTGGTTAATCCCGAATGACAATTGTGTGTGTTTGGTAATAGTTACCCATCTGTGAATACAATCAATTGCTATATACCTGCCTCTTACCTTTACTGCACCAAGGCCTGCGAGATAGGTTTGTTCCTTAAATATTTTAGTTCCTTACGTTACATTCAACTGTTTGGTATCTTATGTGAGGTTTACCTGCTCAATAAACAACATTGGTACATGCTGATCCCTCTGGGGTTTATGTCTCTCATTGAGACCGACCTCTGTGAACCTCAAGCCTTTGTAATCTTGTCCCCATCCATTTTCCTACATGCTTACATTTTCTGCTTTGAATCTATTGTGGTACCTTTCCCACTTTCTCTACTTCATTCACTTCCCTGAAGCCAGAAAGATTGTTTCAAGGAACACAAATATAATCAGGTTATTTCCTTGGTTAGAAACATTCAGCCTCTTTCCATTTACTTTAAGGTAAATTCTAGACCATATTTGATCAAGGGCCTGTTTACCACATCAGCTTGAACTCATAACTTGCTCTCCTTTCTTTGATGTTACTCTTGGGGAAGATAGAGCCACTCAAAGGTTTTATTTTTATACTAACATTTCCATTTATTGCTTGTGTCTTTGTTTTTATTCTTTGCTGCAAAAGATTGTTTCCTTCCATCTTTTTCTGATAAACTTAGTTTTTTTTTTTTAAAAAAACTGAGGCTTGGGTTACTTTTTATGATCCTGTGTTGTTCAGTCTGGCCTTGAACTACTGGGCTCAAACTGACCTCTTGCCTCCATTTCCTGAACAGCTGGGACTATAGATGCGACATCATCATGCAAGCTTTTACTAAGTTTTTGTTTTTTCATGAAACTTTTCCTTTTTACATCATCCTTGACAATCTCCTCAAATTACTCTGTGTCTCATAATACCCCATGAATAGTCTAAGATTCATGTATACATGAATCTGTTGTCCCTCTGGATTTAGAAATCTTTAAAGTGGATATTTTACAAAATTTCAGCCTTCCAAGTGTCTAGCAGAGTCTAACATAGCAGGTGACCAATAATCATTCATTGAAGGAATAAATGCCATTTATGATATGCATATTCTAGGATAAAGTCAAGAGATTTATATTTGGGTGTCAGAATAGTCCTCAAAAATTGAGAACTATTTAATGTTTTCACCAATTAAATTCTTTGTAACTATTCTTAATTTTATATTGGCACACATAATTTTCCAAATAAAGTTTCTTGTTTCAAGTGGTAGAACAATTGTATGCCTTCATTTATGTGTCTCCAATTGTAGTGTATTGTTCCCATTGTGTATAGATAGTATTTCTCAAACTTTGAGTACTTATGAGTCACTTGGGGATCTTATGTAGGTTCTGATTCAGCATTGGTTGGGGCCTTCTTCAGAGGATACCTATGCTATAGGTTCACAGACAATACCTTGAGTGGCAAGGTACTAGAAGATATATTCACATTCTTACTTTAGCAGCTGATCAAAACAGTTTTCTGTTTCATGTGTTTAAATCATCATTTCATATTTTAATTTCATTTTTCATTGTTTATTTTTATATTTTAGCAAGACAGTGATAATGCTAATATGTCACCACAATCTCCAGTATCATCTGAGGTACAAGTTCCGTTTTTATATGTTTTGTATGTTTTCATATGTTTTCTGTATTTTACATAGGGTTCTTTCTTGCTTCTCTGTAACTTCATCTTTTTTGTGTGCCAAGTAATTTATTCACTTCTATTTTAAAGTCTATGTTGTAGGTTATTTTTTACCAACCTTCAAATCTATAAAAAATTGAGAATACCATTTCTTTGTATAAATATTCAGAGTAAATCTTGTGACTTTCTGTGAAAATTATGTGTAGGTCACAGTAATCACTTTATGAAAGGTATACTTTCTAATTAATCAATATTTAAAATTTTTAACAATAGCTTTGAAACTTTAATTTGAAAAAAAGCACGTCAGCATTGTTCAATGGCCTTTGGTTTTCTGGGTAACCAGTTAGGTCTGAAAACAATGCAAGAGTAAACTTCCTTTTTCCACGAGAATCATCTCTGCAGTGGGATGTTCCTATCGACAAAAGGTTACATACACATTTCCTGTCTTCTTACATTTAAGGGGTAGAGAGAATAGGGAACATCTTGATCAAATACTCAGATTGTTTGAATGACTGATTCTTCTATTTTAATCTAAACTTTTTGGTTTACCACAAGAGATTTCAATATAAAACATTCTAAAGAATATTTCTTTTACTTCAGTTCACTTTAGTGTTCTAAAATGCATTTACATTAGTAAATAAGTGATTATACATTAAGTGTTTTAAGACTTTATCTACCTTTTTGATTATATAAATTTGATCATGTGGATTTTCATTCTGTGTTAGTGGTAAGTGGTATTACTTTTTTTCTTTAAGAAAAGCAGGCTTCCTTCTCTAGGGTGTTTAGTGACTTGCATTATTAGTCTATTATATGAATTAGTGCTTGAATTTAGAAATAAACATTTATTTAGAAATAATTATTTATAAATTATTTGCATGGAAGATAAAATGACATGTATGCTTTCAGAAAACAATTTAAATTTGAATATCCTAATATTAGTGTTGATCTTTTACTTTTAAGTTATATCAAATATGCATTATTGCCACTTGTTTATATGGTTTTACTTCAGGATTTTATGGTCTGAAAGCACATGGGACAGTAATAGTGCCAATTTTCTCAGATAAGTTGTATTATGCTTATAAAATTTTTCTTGCATTAGAATAAATAAAATTTTTATCTAGCAATTCATAAAAATTTAACCATGATAATGAAGACAATCTGTAAAGTTATGGTTAGATAAGACGATAAGCCTGTGTTTTGTGGTTCAACTAATATTCAGCTTGAATAACATACTGCGTGTTAATCAGAACATTCAGATAATGTACACACTTCTGATTGCTTAAATTTAATGTGTAAAGAAAATGGTAAAACCAAATTGTGTTCTGTTTTAACAAAGTAAACTTAAAGTGTCCTCATGCCTGCTGAAGAGATTAACTTTTCAAGAAAGTCCAGAGAAGTGACTAAAGTCTCATTAACCTACTTCTTAGACATGCTACACAGAATAAGAGAGATGCTGCTAAGTTTGCATTAATCTATCCTTTTATAATTTGCAATATATTTTTATTTACCTAAGTTAATCTTTATAACAACTGCACCTAAAGATTGAAGAATCAATCACAGAGATTTTTAATGTTCAGAACATAGCCAGATTTTTCTGAGTCAAAGCTCAGATTTGTTTAATGTCTTTCCAAAGCACACCATTGTATGAAAGCATGTTGAAACTATGTGCAATGATATAACAATTTATCCAATCTGTTATTATCTATCTTCTACTAATATAAATATGTGGATTGATCCCAAATTTTAATTTTCCAGTATTACATGTCAACAGTAGGTAGATACTGAGTAGATATTAATAAATCCATATATTTTTTCAATGAAGTATTCATTATTTTGAAATATTTGATCCAGTTATTTTAAAAAAGAATCTTATTGATACACTTTGTTAATTATCTTTTTCATTTGTCTCATAATATGAGAGAAAAGTATTTAGAAGAATATGTAGTTAGCTGGGCGCCCATGGCCCATGCCTGTAATCATAGCTACTCAGGAGGTTAAGATCTGAGGATTGAGGTTCAAAGCCAGCCTGGGCAGGAAGTCCATGAGACTCTTTTTTTTGGGGGGGGGTCTGGTCGTGGGGCCTGAACTCTGGGCCTGGGCGCTGTCCCTCAGCTCTTCAGCTCAAGGCTAGCGCTCTACCACTTGAGCCACAGCGCCATTTCCGGCTTTTTTACTTTTTGCTTATGTGGTGCTGAGGAATCGAACCCAGGGCCTCATGCATGCAAGGCAAGCGCTCTACCACTGAGCCACCTTCCCAGCCCTTCCATGAGACTCTTATCTCCCATAAACCACTAGAAAACTGGAAGTGGTGCTGTGGCTCAAGCAGTAAAGCACTCGCCTTAAGCTGAAGAGTGCAAGGACAGCTCCCAAGCCCAGAGTTCAAGTCCCATGACCAAAAACCCCCCAACAATATATAGTTTTGTCCAAGCAAATATTTATTGATGGTATAAAGGTGAAATTTATCAACCTGAATTGACATGTAAATTTCTTTCCTCTCTTCCACTAATCATGGAAACATAATACTTTATAAAATTGGCATGGATATGATTATATTCCTTGGTTTTTTTAAACAAAGGGATTTTGTTTTCTGTTTTTAGGAGTATGACAGAACAGATGGTTTTTCACATGGTCCCTTTGGCTTAAAGCCTCGATCAGGTAAATGTATATTCTGTAAATAAAATGTATTGGCTGTCTTGAAACTGTAGTTTCCCAGTTAAATGCAATTTTTCCATAGTTTTAAGTACACAGATTCTTTCCCCTCTCCTAAAAGTAATTTTTTCTTAACCTTCTTTGTCTTTCCAATTTCCATTCCCATTTCCTACTTCATCTTCAAGCTCCTGAAATCTGTTTTTTGCCTTAGATACATGGCAGTCTTATTTCCACTCTACTGTGACTGCTGTTACAATGACCACTCTGCCAGTAGACCAAACACTGAAATTATAGCACTCCATTATATTGTGATTTTCAAAAGGGATCTTTTTGCATTTGGCAAGCCCAAAAGGAAATGGATCCATGTTACTTGGAAAGGTATTGACTTATAGTTTTTATTCCTGAATAACTATATTGACCTTCAACAATAATTTCCTTTTGTCTTTAAAGATGACACATATTCAATAATCATTTTTAACCTGGGACATACATTTCTAATAACATGTGTTTAAATAAGAACATGTGTAAGTGGTAGAAAGCATTACACCTGTGTTCCCTATTGATTTCAGTTATATAGACAATTCTTATAACTACTTAAAATATTTAGAATGTTCTAATAAGTAATCATGTTTTATGTAGTTTTGCACTGATTCTTTTTTTATTTTAATCATGCTTCTTTCTCCATCAGTGGTTGCTCCTTTGATTAGCTTCGTAACAATTTGGGATATTCCTGTTTTTTGTAAAGCTTTTAGCCGCTCATCTCGCCAAGAATATGGAGTAGCAGATCCAGGGTTTACAATGAGAAGAAAGATGGAACATTTACGGGAAGAGCGAGAACAAATAAGACAGCTTCGCAATGTAAGTCACATTAACTTTTCAGATCTACTTCATAGAAATATGTTAAACCTGGAAAATTAACAAGGTACATGTGTATTATTGATAATGCATATTGATATTATTTGATGTTCTCTGATTTTGGTGAATCATATAACAGTAATATAAATATGTACCATATTTAGATAGAATATTTGTGACTTGTACCCATTTCTTTATAGAATCTTGAATCCAGGTTAAAAGTAATTTTGCCTGATGACATTGGAGCTGCATTGATGGATGGGGTTGTTCTTTGCCATTTAGCCAATCACATAAGGCCACGCTCTGTAGCTAGTATTCATGTACCTTCACCAGCAGTGGTAAGTTGTGTCTTCAATAGTTCTCCAATGGAAGATACAGCTTAACTGTTTAAATAATATTCCTTAATGAATTCAATTTTCAGTTTTGATTGAGTTATATAATAATAAATACCTGAAAATGTTTCTCCCCATTTACTTTAACAGCCCAAGCTGAGCATGGCAAAATGTCGAAGAAATGTAGAAAATTTTCTTGATGCTTGCAAAAAATTGGGTGTTTCACAGGTAATATTTATCTAACAAAAAGCTCATCTAAGTATTAATTTATTCTATGCACAGTAAAGTCTTCTTCATAGTAGTGATGAGTAACATTTCCAGAATATGTAAATGAATAGTTTCTTTTGGTACCTTCTAGTAGGCTCCAGTAGGTAATCACAGCAATTATCTAATAAATGCTCTTAAACTTTTTAAAACATTATTTATAGAACAGCAACCTGTATGTGCCAGGCTATGAGGGAGCCAGGAAGTGAGATTTATCTAAAAAGCAACCAGCAGAAATCAGGGGTAGAACTGTGGATCAGCCCTAAGAATACTTTCTTAAGCAAGCAGAAGGACCAGAGTTCAAGCCCCAGTACTGCCAAAAAGAACAAGATGTTAATTGCGACTACCATTCAACATATACTAAAGATTTTTTAGCAAGGGCAATTAGGTAAAGTGAAATGAAAATGAAAAACACATAGATTGAAATAACAGAAACAAAGTTATGTCTATTCACAGATAATATGACTTGTAGAGTAAAGAAACTATTAGAACTGATGTTTCAGAAAGGTTGTAGAATAAAAGATTAATACAGCTAAGTGCCCATGGTTCCTGTTTGTAGCCCTAGCTATTCAAGAGACTGAGATCCAAGGGTCTCAATTTGAAGCCAGCCTGGGCAGGAAAGTCCATAAGACTCTTAACTCCACTAAACTAACAAAAACAAAGATGAAAGTAGAGCTGTGGTTCAAGTGGTATAGTGCTAGCCTTGAGCAAAAAGAAGGTCAGGGACAGAACCTAGGCCCTGAGTTCAAGCCCCATGACTGGCACAAAAAAGATTAATACATGTATACTGTTAACTAATTATTTTTCATAGATGTCCTTTTGTGTATTTGAGGAGTTTCTCCAAGTGCATTTTGTTTTGGTTTATGGGTATGCAGTCTTTTGCACGACATTCGTATAAATGCTTATTCTCTTTCTATTCGCCTACCTTTTCATTTGCATCAAACAGTCCTTTTATTGCTTGATGAGGGCTCATAACTGAAATTCTAGCTACTTCAGAAGCTAAGATTGTTGGGATTATAGTTCTAGGCCAGCCCTGGAACATAAAGTCAGCAAGACTCCTCAGTGAAGAGCTGGACACAGTGACACACTATCCTAACATAGGTAGATCCTGCCCAGGGTACCTGGGAAGAAAGCAAGATCCTATTTGAAAAGATAACAGCAGAAAATAGATCTAGCAGCACAGCTCCAAAGTTAGAGTGCCTGCCTAGCAACTAAATACTGGAATTCAAACCCCAGTCCTTCGGATTAAAAATAAGCAACACTAACAAAAACAAAGTATTTGTCCATAAATCTATAGTCTTGATGTTTTGTTGTTTTGCTTCATTAACCTTTTTGCCTCTCCATATTTACAATGGTAAAATATTTTCTTGCTTATTATAGATTTTGAAATCAAGTAATACTAGGTATTTATTTATCTTGGTACTTTTTTGTGTGCCAGTACTGGGGCTTGAACCCAGGACCTAGGTGCTGTCCCATAGTTTTTTTATTCAAGGCTAGCACTCTACCACTTAAACCACAATTCCACTTCCAGCTTTTGTGTGGTTAATTGGAGATATAAAAATCTCATGGGCTTTCCAGCTCAGGAGATCTTAGCCTCATGAGCTGCTAAGATTATAGGCATGGGCTACCAGTGCCTATCTGTAACTTGGTACTTTTTAAAGCTATTTTGGCTTCTGTGTGTGTGTGTGTGTGTGTGTGTGTGTGTGTGTGTGTGTGTCTTGAACTCAGGGCTTAATCACTGTCCCTGAGCATTTTTGTCAAGGCTAACACTCTTATCACTTGAGCCACAGCTCCACTTCCATCTTTTTTGGGGTAACTAATTGGAGATAAGAGTCTCTCGGACTTTCTAATTGTGGCTGTCTTTGAACTGAAAGACATATATCTCAGCCTCCTGAGTAGCTAGGATTATAGGTGTGAGCCATCAGTGCTCAGCTATTTTTGAATCCCTTGAATGTCCATATAAATTTGGAACACTTACAAATTGATCAACTCCTACAAGAAAAAATTGTTTGGATTATTATTATAGAAGTTTAGTTTAATTGAGATAACAGTATAGATAATATTATATAATAATATCAAGTATTTCTTCCATGAACACAGTGTATCCTTACTTGGATCTTTTTCAATTCCTTCAACGATGTTTTGTGATTTTCACTTTGTAGATCTTGCATAGGTTTCCTTAAGTATTTCATATTTTCATATTTTGCATGCAATTATATATGTGGTTTAATTCTAATAACTAATCCTTTATTTCTAATAGAAAATAAATTTGGAATTTATTTATCAATGTTTTATTAAACTCACTAATGAGTTCAAGTGTTTTTTGTCAAATTTATAGAATTTTCTACATTGATGTTTATATTTTCTATGAATTCCAAAAGCTTTCTGATATAAATGCTTTTTAATTCTTTTTTGTCAACTTTCCCAGCCCAGTTTCCCAGTACAATATTGAGGAGAACTAGTCAGAATAGACATCTGGATATTCTTGTTTTATTCCTTAATTTTTTCAAAATTCCATTAGTTGTGAGTTTTTCATACATAACCTGTATGAAAGGGAATTTCCTTCTGTTCATAGTTTGGAAAATTCCTATCAGGGATAGCTAATTGGATTTCAGCAAATTGTTTTTCTATTTTAATTGGTGTGATAAAACTATTTTCTTTGCAATTTCTTTTTATTAGTGTATACTAGTTGTACAAAGAGGTTGCATTGTTTTCCTGTGCATGAACATAATGTTCTAATTCAATTTTTTTATGTTTTCATGTTCCCCGTCTCTCTCCCTTTAAACAATTTTAACTTTATTATTCTATTTTCATATATACACATGAAGTACTTCAATCATAATTGCCTCCATTACCCTCTTCTTTTGCTTCAACCCCTCCTCTCCTTTCCTAGTTTGTTTTATACTGTTCTTTTTGTGTGTGTGAGGGTCTAGATTGCATATGTATAAATTATGTGATATTCTTTCTCAGTCTGGTTAATTTCACATAACGATATTCTCCAGTTCCAGTTCCATCCTTTTCTCCAAAAATATTTAATTCTTCTTTAAATAATTTTCTATTGTACATTCATACCACACTTTATTTATACATATATTTGTTGATGGACATGTATACTGATTCCATAGTTTGCCAATGATGAATAGTGTCATTACCAACATGTGTTTGCAGGTAATCTTGTGTGTCTACTGAGTTCTATTCCTTTGGCTATCTGGCCAGGAATGGTATAGCAGGATTACATGGGAATTCTAAGGTCTTTTGTTTTGAAATGTTTATACTGATTTCCATAGGGTCTGTACTAATTTATATTCCCACCAACAATGTATAAATCCTGCTTTATCGTCACAGCCATTTGTTGAGTTTTTTTTTTCTTTATAACTGCTGTATTCACTGCAACAACATGAAATCGCGGTGACATTTGATAGCATTTTCTTTATGCCTAATGAACATTTCTTCTTGAGTTTATTACTTATTTTACTTCTTTTTATAATGTTGATTTGCCAATTTATCAATTGGAACTTCAACTCTTTACATGTTTTGGATATTAAACCTTTATCTGACTGATCAAGATTTCTCCCATTCTGTGGGTTATCTCTTTGATGTGCAGAAACTTTGTAATTTCATACAATTTCATATGTCAATTCTTAATGTTATTTGCTGAGCTATTAGATTCCTATTCTGAAAATCATTGCTTATACCTATAATCTTTAAGTATTTTCACATTGTAGTTTTAAAATTATATTTATTTCCAATAAATGTTTTGGCTCCTTTGTCAAAATCAGACGGATACAGCTGCATCCAGTGCAGTTATTTATGAGTTTTTGTATTCTAGTTCTTTAAGTTATATATCTCTTTTATGTCAGTACCATACTGATTTTGGTACTGTGGTTCTGTAGTGTACTTTTCAGCCTGGTATTGTGATCCCTCCAAAAATACTGTTTTAGCTCAGGCTTATCCTATTCAGGGTCTTTTATGTTTCCATATGGATTTTAGGATTGATTTTTTTATTTCTGTGAACAATGAAGTTTTTGGATTGCCTCTTCTATTTCCTTGAAGAATGAGGTTGGAATATTGATAGGTATTTCATGAATTTGTAGATAGCCTTGGGAAGTATTGACATTTTCACGTTGATCGTTCCAATTCAGGAGCATGGGAAGTTTTGCCACTTTCTAAGTTCTGTTCTGATTTCCTTTTTCAGGTTTTTAAAGTTTTCATCATAGAGGTCCTTCACTTCTTTGGTTAAGTTAATTCCTAGGTATTTTATTTTTTGTGGGGCTATTACAAATGGA